TCCTCCTCCTCCTCCCTCCCTCCTCCCTCCTCCCTCCCTCCTCCCTCCCTCCCTCCCTCCCTCCCTCCCTCCCTCCCTCCCTCCCTCCCTCCCCTCCTCCTCATTCCTCTCGTTCCCCCCCTCCGAAAGCGACATGTTCTTAAGATGCTCCGAAAGACCCCAAGAAGCCCTTAAGAGGCCTCCTCTTCTTCTTCCTCTTCCCTCCTCTCCTCCTCCTCCTCCTCCTCCTCCTCCTCCTCCTCCTCGTCCTCCTCCTGCTCCTCTTCCTTCTCCTCCTTCCCCTCCTCCTTCTCCTCTTCCTCCTTGTTCTTCTTCTGTTTCGTCTTCCTCGTCTTCCTGTTCTTTTCCTTTCTCACCTCAAGCCAACAAGTCCCTGACAGGCTCCCGGAGGATCCCAAGAGGCCCAGGCGGCCCACACGAGGCCCCAAATAGGCCCCCAGCAGAAGCCCTCAAGAGGCCCCCTCGTCATTTCTCTTCCTCCTGCTCCTCCTCCTTCCTCTCCCCTTCCCGAGCAAACACAGACATCCTGGAGGCATCGCGCGGCAGCTTGAGATCCAACTTACGTCGGATCCACGTCGGATGTACGTCGGACTGACGTCGGAACATCGCCAAGCGAACGTCGTGCCAGATCTTACGGGACAAACGTGCGGAGTAGATGCCACAACAATTGAGCGCGCGAGGTCTCCAGGATGTTCCTCATAAGAAGAGGGTCCTGGTCTAGAGCCTTCCCACGTGGGGTCCGAGCAGATGAGATCGAATCGCTCCGCATCTCCGAGGCATCGGCGATGCATCTTCGACGCATCGGCGATGCATCGGCGACGTCGGCGACGCATCGGCGCCGTTGGCATGGAAAACATTGAGGTCCACATCGAGCCGCAGCGACGATGCGTCGCGATCCCCCGACCCCACCCCGCTTTGGAGGCCTGGATGGTCGGGCGTTCCTGAAGGGGGGGGGGGGGGGGGGCGATGCACAAGGGGGCGGGCATGACGTTTTCCCTAGCCCGTTATTCCACTGCATGCTCCTCCACATCCCTGATCAGGGCAAACGGGCCTGAGCATCGTTTCTGAAGGGCTGGGGGCGTCTAGAATCATGATGCACCTTTCGTGCACCTTCGCCGCCCCAGCGGGCCCCTCTGGGGGCCTTTTGCTGCAACTGCCGATGCCCCTCCCCTCCACACTGACGGACCATTGACCGCACCTCCGTTTCGAAACGCCGAAACGCCCCACCTGGGCCCCGGGGTCGTCCCCCAGCAGGGCCATCTGCTCGTCCTGACTACCTACCAGACCACCCCAGCTCAACCCGAAGACCTGAATTTCGGGTGGGGGGGGGAATGGGTTTCATGTGTGTTTTTGTTCCCCACATGCTTCGTGGGGTTCTGGTTCCCCACATGCTTCGTGGGGTTCTGGTTTTCTTCCCTGCCGCGCCGCGCCCGCGTCTCCCCCACACCCGCCCTCCTCCCCTCCTCCTCCTCCTCCTCCTCCTCCTCCTCCTCCTCCTCCTCCTCCTCCTCCTCCTCAGCACAGCGCAGCACAGCACAGCAGACCGCAGCACAGCATAGGACAGCACAGCACAGCTCAGCAGAGCACAGCACAGCACGTCTCGGCGACACGCGTCTACATACAGCCGCACGCATGCACACACTCGCACACACAAGACGACACCAGTCCTGGCATAGCAGGCGTGGCACTTTCTCGACACCATAGGGGGTGCGCAGGGGGTGGTCTCTCGCTGCGGTCTCTATACGCCCCAGTCGTCCTGCTATAGCAGGCGTGGCCCCAGTCGTCCTGGCATAGCAGGCGTGGCACTTTCTCGACACCATAGGGGGTGCGCAGGGGGTGGTTTCTCGCTGCGGTCTCTATACGCGCCGGTCGTCCAGGCATAGCAGGCGTGGCACTTTCTCGACACCATAGGGGGTGCGCAGGGGGTGGTCTCTCGCTGCGGTCTCTATACGCGCCGGTCGTCCAGGCATAGCAGGCGTGGCACTTTCTCGACACCATAGGGGTGCGCAGGGGGTGGTCTCTCGCTGCGGTCTCTATACGCGCCGGTCGTCCAGGCATAGCAGGCGTGGCACTTTCTCGACACCATAGGGGGTGCGCAGGGGGTGGTCTCTCGCTGCGGTCTCTATACGCGCCGGTCGTCCAGGCATAGCAGGCGTGGCACTTTCTCGACACCATAGGGGGTGCGCAGGGGGTGGTCTCTCGCTGCGGTCTCTATACGCGCCGGTCGTCCAGGCATAGCAGGCAGTGGCATACGCAGGCATCTGGCACTTTCTCGACACCATAGGGGGTGCGCAGGGGGTGGTCTCTCGCTGCGGTCTCTATACGCGCCGGTCGTCCAGGCATAGCAGGCGTGGCACTTTCTCGACACCATAGGGGGTGCGCAGGGGGTGGTCTCTCGCTGCGGTCTCTATACGCGCCGGTCGTCCAGGCATAGCAGGCGTGGCACTTTCTCGACACCATAGGGGGTGCGCAGGGGGTGGTCTCTCGCTGCGGTCTCTATACGCGCCGGTCGTCCAGGCATAGCAGGCGTGGCACTTTCTCGACACCATAGGGGGTGCGCAGGGGGTGGTCTCTCGCTGCGGTCTCTATACGCGCCGGTCGTCCAGGCATAGCAGGCGTGGCACTTTCTCGACACCATAGGGGGTGCGCAGGGGGTGGTCTCTCGCTGCGGTCTCTATACGCGCCGGTCGTCCAGGCATGGCAGGCGTGGCATTTCTCGACACCAGAGGAGTGCGCAGGTGTTCAGAGGAGCGAGGAGGAGTTGAGAGAGAGGATTTGAGAGGAGTGCGGAGGTGTTCAGAGGAGCGCGGAGGAGTTGAGAGGAGTGCGGAGGAGTGCAGAAGGAGGAGTACAGAAGGATATGAGAGGATGAGTTGAGAGGAGTGCGGAGGAGTTGAGGGAAGTGCGGAGGAATTGAGAGGAGTGCGGAGGAGTTGACAGGATGGGGTGGGACGAGGAGGAGGAGGACGAGGAGGAGGAGGAGGACGACGACGACCACGAGTGCGGCGACGAATACAACGAGCACTACCAACACAACGAGTACGACGACGTCGAGTGCGACGACGACGAGTGCGACGACGAGTGCGACGAGCACGACGACGAATGCGAAGACGAGTACGACGGCGAGGTACGACGACGAGTACGATGACGAGTAAGACGATAGAGCGGCAACGAGTACGACGACGAGTACGACGAGTACGACAACGAGTACGACAAGTACGACGACGATTCGCGACGAGGGTTTAGAACGCAGCATTGCGCATAGATGATAATGACAAGCAAACACATAAGATTAAAAATCAGTATGTGGGGTTCCTCGGTAGCGTAATTCGATGTTCCCCGACCCCCCCCACACTGGAAGTGGACGGCAAATGAGGGCCGTCGGGTTGGGTTGGGGTGGTTTGGTGGGTTGTGACGTCCTGCGACGCTTGTTCGGCGGTTCTGGGAGCCGTCGTGGAGGGCCCCTGAGAGACCGAACGAGCGGCGACAAAAACGCTCGCAGGGCCTGGCTTCTCGCAGGGCCCGGCTGCTGCACAGCCTCCCGACGGCGTGCTGGTTTCACAGAGCGGGCCCCCGGAGGGGCGACTTGCCTGGAGGGGAGGGGGGCATGGGGAGCAGGCAGGGGAGGGAAGTACGGATGGGGTGGGGTGATGAGGAGGGATGGCGAGGATGGATGAGGGAGGAGGGGGGAGGGAGGCATGGGGAGCAGGGAGGGAAGTACGGATGGGGTGGGGAAGTACGGATGGCGAGGATGGATGAGGGAGGAGGGGGGGACAGTGAGGATGAGTGGTTACAAGAAGCGAGAATCGAGGACTGAGGCCTGGGCCCATCCGCCCAAACGGGCTGTTCATCCTGGGCTGTTCTTGTCACGGTCCCGGGGCCTGGCGAACGCCGCCAGAGGACAGAAATGACAACCGACTGACGGCAAATGGCTTGAGTGCTTCGTGGCGACATGCCGGCAAATGCTTCGAGTGCTTCGTGGCGACATGCCGGGGAGGGCCCCCAAGGGCCAGGCACGGCGGCGACGGACAAGCCTCGTGGCCGGGCTGTCCCCCGGGACGCGCGTGCCTCGAAGCGGGGCGAGCCGAGGCAGCGGCACTGCAAAACTGAATGGGGCCCCAGGACACACAAATGAATACACACACAAATAAAACAAATCCCCCATATATTCTCATAGTTTCTGGGTTTTTGTCTTCCCCCCCACTTCCCATATTTTCCCAGATTTCCTAGGGAATCGACGATGAATTGTGTCTGTGTGTTTCTTTTCTTCCTGAAAAACACCGACCCCCCCGAGCCCTCTCGGGGCCCGAACGCAGTGAAGCTTGCCGCGCTGCGTCGGGCCGCGGCGGCGAGGGGCCTCCCCCGGGGCCACCCGCCGGCCGCTGCCCCCCCCCCCCCCCACGACGCGCCCTCTGCGGAGAAGCGCGGGCCCCGCACGCCGAGATCGGGGAGCAGCGCACGACGCCGAGGCAGGACGCGCCAGCTCTCCGAGCTGCCTCCAGCCGTGGCGACGAGGGGGCCCCCGAAGGCCAACCGCCGCTGCCTCGACGGCCCCTCCTCTGACGCCTGGTGCTTCGTGAGGGCAGTCGGCTGCACTCGGGAGGGACCCCCAGGCAAGAGTGACCTTGCGCGCGCGGCCAGGGGGGGGGGCCCTGTGTGCGGGCAAGGTTCGTATCCATATCCAGTGCGTCTTGGATTCTTTGAGGAGGAGTATCACAAGGCCGAGGCGCACTGGATATGGAAAAACATCGAGCCTCCAGGGGGCAAATTCATCCATATCCAGCGCGCCTCTGGTTTCTGGGGAAGGGAGCCCGAAACTCCATATCGCAGTGGACATGGACAGAAATATTGCCCGCACTGTGGGGGCACCGCCGGGCGCGCAGGCCGCTGCTCTCGCACCGCATGCAACGATCGGCGGGCCCCCCACTGGGCCCGCACCCAAAGGCCACTCCGGCGGAAGGTCACCCTCACGCGCAGCCGAGGACAGGCAGTGCCGCGTCCTGCGCCGCGGGCGTGGCAGGGCCGCACCTCCAGCGTCGGGGGAGCCCAGGATCGAACCGACAAGTCGGAGCGGCGATCGAAACGAATCGGAATCGACGGAAATCGATCGAAACTAATCGGATCGGCGGAGGCCGGCAACCGAGTCAAGAAGAGTCGAATCGGCAAGCATCGGCAGGCCAACGGGCCTCCCCTGAGAAATCGGATCCCGAACCGGAATCCCACGCCGAATCGAATCGGAATCGGAAGCCATCGAGGTCGAAGCGAATCGACTCGGAGGCATCGAAACGAGCCCTGTAGGGGCACCTTCTCCCCCTGTGACCCTCTGCGCGTGGCTTTAGGTCGGGCATGCCCCCTACGGGCGGATTTCGGACGACAAATGAAAAACAGCCAGGACGTCTTCCCCAAAAATACTCCCAAAGAGTCAACAGATCGTCCCCAGACCGTTTCTGTATCCATTCCTGAACACTCCCCCTGTGGACCCCCCAAGGGCCCCACGGGCCCCCCTTCCCCGGGGAGGGCTTCGGCTGGCCGCGGGCACTCCCCCCCCTCCCGGGGCAGCGCCGCAGCCCCTGGGCGCAGAGGCGCCCCGAGGTTGCGCTCAAGTCGGGCCCGTCCCCCCCTGCACTCGCCATCGCTCGGACGTCCATTCTCTGTATTTTTTTCGGTTTCGTGCGTGGTTTTTTCGCCAAATCATCAAGGATGATCCTCGATGGTCCTCGCCGAAGGAAGGATGCACACGTCCGAGCGATGCCAAGTGCAGGAGGAACATTCCAAAATAGACAAGAAATAGTTTGGGGACCATTTATGGATTATTTTTGAGCATGTGGGAGCCTTGTTGGGGCATGTTTCGTCCAAGATCCCCCTGTAGGAGGACAGGCCCGACTTAAGGCTACGCTTAAGTCGGGCATGTCCCTCCACAGGAGGAATTTTCAAACATAGTCAAACAATGGTCTGGAAACGATTTTTGTTTTAAAGTATTTTCGGACAAAGTTGGATGATGTTGAAGGGTGTTTCCTATTTCTCGTCCAAAATCCCCCTGTAGGGGGACACGCCCGACCCAAGGTTATGCCGCCAGAGGCGGCGCCAAGGTGTTGACACTGCCCGGGTTTAGGAGACAACTACTGGGAGGTCTTCGTCGGAAGACCCACAAGATTGACGGATTTCGTTTTCGGTGCTTGCGTGGTGGGCGCTACTTCAACGCTGGCATGAGGTGTTCGGCCCAAGCGCAGGGGTGTCCGAAACCCAGCACCTTCACAGCATTGAAGAACGCGTTTTCTGACAACGAGCGTTTCGATCTTGAACAGCGTTTCAATCTATTTTTGACGAGGCTTGTAGGGAGGATTACACCCCATTGGGGGGCTGCTACGCCAAATTAGGCCGCGGATTAAGCTGGATTGAGCAAGAGTAAGCGGGATTGAACTGGATGGAGCGGGATGAGGCCGGATTTCGGACCAGGGCAAGACCAGAATTTGACCTCCCAGGAGTCGCATCCGAACTGGGGGGGCATCTTGAGGCCACCTGGGACTGCATGGGGGGGCCTGCTCGGGCCAGCCAGGACTGCCTGCCCCGAGAGCCAACGTTGCAGAACACTTGCAGCATCGCGCGAAAGCACGCCGAGAGCCCTGGACCAGGGCTGAACCTAAACGGTGTTGTTCGTTTTCGTTTTGTTTTCATTTTCCATCGTTTTGTCTTCAATCCTCCTTTACCGCAAAACGAAGTCGAAACGAAAACGGCCCACGAAATCGCCAAAACACCGTTTAGAGCCAGCCCTGCCCTGGACCCCCTGTTTCTGCATCATCTGTCGAGCCTGATCGATCTGTGAGTGTGCGGGGGCCCGGCGCTTGGCGAACATGCCCATGGTGAAAACATCGCAGCGTCTGGATCTGACCGGGGGCGCCCAAGAGGGGGGCGTCAAAGAGGGGGGCTCGCAAACCATGACCCGAGGCACGTGCGCGGCCATAAACCAAGGGGAGCCATCATGGCGCCATAAAAATAAGAGGCGCCATACACCTGCGGAGGAATCATGGCCCTGGCCGTGATATCCCCCCCTGGTCATCGCCCCCCCTCTTGGCCGCCCCCGCTCTGAGGGTGGGGGGACTGTGTGTGCGCAAGCCTCAGACAGAGGCCTCCCAAGTAGGGTCCGAGCAGATGGGATCGGAGGATTGCGCCGCATCGCCCACGCACCGGCGATGCGTTTTGGCGACGTCGCCGATGCATCGGCGCCATCGACGTGGAGAAAGTCGGACTCCACATCGAGCTGCATCGCCGATGCGGCGAGATCCTCCGACCCCATTCCCATGATTTCCTATATTTTCACATGGAGTGCACGGGCATATCGGTGCCCCTCCCTGCCTTTCCTGCCCCACAGAATGGCGGCGGAGGCGCACGTCTTCCTGAGTAGTTTTGTTGTCTCTCTCTCTCTCTATTTCTCTACCTCACTTTCTTTCTATCGATCTCTCCCTTTCTCTCTTAATCTCTCGCTCTCTCTCTTCCTCTCTCCCTGTCTGAAGGACGCTCAGATGGATTGCGTTCCCTTTGTCTGTGTGGCTGTGGGTGGGACAGATCGACTGGACTTGTGGGGGGCTGTACATCGACTCCCTTTGAGTGTGTGGGGATACAGGTTGATTGCTTCTGTGGCGGAGGGGAGGGGATCTGGCACTGGGGGAAAGTTCCCAAGAACACAAAAGCAAAACAAACAAAAACGCCCTCCTGAATCCACTGGTATCGTTTTGTATTCACCCCCCGCGGGCCCCGACAAAAACTGGGACCTGTGGATCCATAGGGGCTGTTTTTTGCTCTCCAGGGCCAGACCCTACCCCTCCCACCAAATAAAACACACCTGTGTGTAAGCATCCCCACCACGGATACCGAACCAATAGTTTCCGAATAGTGACACATTAGTAAGAATTCCTTTGTTACGGGCCCCCTTTTTGTACGATTTCCTATTCTACCAAGGATTGTTCAAGAGAGGTACTTACGCAAAAAAGGCGAGAACCACTATCAAGGATTCCTTGGCAAGCGGGCTCCTCAATAAAGAAACCGTGCTTCAAATTCCCTGGAACAAGATTCCTTACAGAGGACAACTTGCCACGAACTCCGTATTCCTGTTTTCTTAACAAGAATTCCATATTCAGGGTTCCTCACAAGGCATGTCCCATTCAAGATTCCTTTTTGAGAACTCCTGATCACGGATTTCCTACGGACGAGTCCTTGCCAAGGAGGCGCTACTGCGGAATGCATACCAAAGGTGGTCCCCTAGTCCAGCTCCGTTACTGAAGACTCCGTATCACAAACTCCGTACGAACAATTCCTGCATGCGGAGTCTCCGGGAAATATTCGTATTACGTACTCGTGATTAAATAATCCTTAGCACGGGCTCGTCCGTAAGTGTCAGATCCTTACTACGGATACCTGAATAAGGGTCCCATAGTGATGACATCTTAGTAATGATTCCTTTCTATGCATCCCATCTACGATAATCGTTACTGAATGTTCCTCGATAGGGGTAGGAATTCATTACTAAGAGTAGTCAGGGTTCACTAATAAGGCTTCTCTAGTAAGGGCTCTCGAGTAAGGAAACCTTACGCAGGGCTCACTACTAAGGATTCCTTCAACACATATTCCTGAATGGGGATTCCTTATTGAGAGCTTTGCGAAGACTGTCTTTTCCTACTCAGGATTCTGAAGTAAGAACTCCTTCCGGGGGACCCCTTACTCAGCGGAGATGGCGCGACTAAGGAATCATGAGTTAGGGCTCCGTCGCCTTAACAAGGGTCCTTGTTTAATAGGGATACCTCACTAAACATTCCTTTCTACGGATACCTTACCAAGGACCCCCGGGTAGGGACAACTTAATAAAGGGGCCCTTTTGCAAGGATCTCTTAAGTGAAGTTCCTTACTAAGGAATCCGTGGGCTAAACAAGACGCACTACCAAGGATTCCATGTACAATTTCCGTAGTATGGGAACCTTAATCAGGGTTCCCTCCTGAAGACTGCTTCTCACAAAGGTTCCTTACAGAGAATTCGGTACTGATGATCACATATTACGGATCCCGTATTACGAATTCCTGCGCAAAGATTCCGTACGAAAGACTGCCATGACGGATTCCGTGGGAAAGATTCACATTACGGATCCGTGATTCAGGCATCCTGAACGAAAGGTTCCTTTGTAAAGGTCTCTTACTAAGAATCCGCCACGAAATATTCCCTCCTAAGGGTTTCTGAACAACTATTCCGTCCTACAAGTTCCTCACGGCGGAGCCGCTATGAACGATTCCTTCGTACATATTCCCGCGGAAGGAAGCCGAACGAAGGGTTCCCGAGTAAAGATTACTTCGTCAGGATGTATGTTTAAAGGGTTCTTTCCTATATAGTCCTTACCGAAGGTTCCTTATAACATATTCCTTACCAAGTAGTTTAGATTATAGAGTTAACAAGGAAAGAACGGGCACCGATATGTTCGCGCGCCCTTTCACATTCATGTCTGGGTTTTCGTCTTCCCTCCACTTCCAGGATTTTCCCATATTTTCGTTGGTACCGACGATTATCGGTGTATGCGTTTTTGCCCTCCTGATCGACCCAGACATTCGACGTCCTGCTTTCTTTCAACACGCGGTGCCTAAAAGTCCGAAGCATCTCCCTGGGACCGGCGTTTTCATGTCGAGTCGCTCTCTCACAATCCCGAAGCCCGGTAAGGGACCCCAGGAGCCGAGTAGGGAGAACAACTTCTGATCATGTTTTTTGGAAGTCGACAGCATGTCCGGGGAAACTGGAAGGTACCGATACCGCAGCTGCCCAGACCCCTCCAAGGGAGCGTTCTGACTAGACTCTCCGAATCCAGCGGTGGCGACGAGGGCCTGCCCGGAGGCCCACAAGAGGCGAGAACGAGACGAAGGTAGCAATATGGGTACCTGTTCCTCCTCCATACCCCAGGTTGGCTCAAAAGGGGGTCCACCTGAAAGGGGGTGGCGCAATAGATTTGGGGCAATTGTACTGCAAATGCGTTGCGCCAGAGAACTGTGTTGCATGATATTGCATGGAGTCGCGGCTAGTGCACTGCATGCAGAACTCCAGCAGTGCATTTGCGCCCCAGAATGCAGCGCACGCTCCAGATCTCGTGCACCCCCGCGAATCTACTGCACGCGATCCATTGTCTCTTGCACCACTTGCAGCTGGACCCCCGTTCGCGTCAGCCAGATTGCCAGCCGCACCTCCAGCTCGCAGAGGCCCACCCACTCTGGGCGGGCGCTCCCGCGGCCCTCGTGGGCGGCTCCGAAGTGTGTGGTTTGCAAAGGGTTGAGCAGGGACCGACCGCCCCGGCCGTCCTAGAGGCCTACCACGACATGTTCTTAGAGCCCAATAATGTCCTAAGAACAGATATAATGTTCTTAGAGAGCATGAACCGTACGCAGTGAACCACGACGGTCTCAGCCGGAAGTGTTCTAGGAACATTTCGTGCAAACCACAAAAGGTTCTTAGGACTTTCCTTGGTAGGCCTATAGACGAGATAGGACGCTTCGCCACTGCTTGAAAGGGTGTGGTCTGCAAGCGGCACCCTGGGGGACGCCACCCCGGTTCGGGCGGGCGAGGGCCTCGACGGAGCTCTCGGCCGCGCCCCGAGGAGGCCCGACGAGGACGGCGCCGTGCTCCCCAGCGGTGCCGATCACAAACCACACCCCGGCGTAATCACAGTCGGACCTAAGACAATTTGTTCCCCTATCCTTGCGATCCTGGCGTCTCAATTTTTTCGAGCCGGGGCGTTTCCGCTTTTTCTCGGACCCCGGGACCCTCACGGATCGATCCGGCTCGAAAAATGACCCGGAGCCCGGGGTCTAGGGCTCCGGGCACGATTTTCCACGGCGTCTCAATTAGATTGAGACGTCGGGTCTCAGGGATGTACCGCGTGATCACAGTCGGACCTAAGACAGACGAACATCATTCAAGAGCGCGAGACCCGCCGCCGGCCGAAGCACACAGAACGTCCGAGGGGGGCACCCTCCCCAGGGTGCACGAGACGTCCAACCAACACGAAAAACATGAGGAGGAGGAGGAGGAGGAGGAGGAGGAGGAGGAGGAGGAGGAGGAGGAGGAGGAGGAGGAGGAGGAGGAGGAGGAGGAGGAGGAGGAGGAGGAGGAGGAGGAGGAGGAGGAGCCCTCCCCGAACCGACCTCGATCTGATGCCTCGGTGCAGCGGACGCCTGGCAATTTTTTGCTGTCACAGCCCGGCTCTCCGGTGGCCGATTGGGGCGATCCCGGCATCCCTGGGACGCTCTCAGCGAGGCGTAGCTGCTGGCAAGCATCCCGAGGCTGGAAAACCCCCGAGGGCCAACGAAAACGTCCGAAAACCTCGAACCCCGAACCCGAACCGACCTCGGTCCGACTGCAGGATGCCCGTTCTTCTCGAACCGACCTCGGTCCCAGGGTGCCCTCCCCGAACCACCCTCGAAGTTATACCTCGGCCCGACCGTCGTAGGGAAACAAGCCATGACATCAACGCAAACGCTCGGAGGTCCGCGCGCGGATCTCTCGGATCGGCGGTGGATCCCCCTCCTTGGCGCGCGGGGCGCGCCAGGGGCTCCCGTGCCGATCCGAGAAGTCCGCGCGGATCTCCGAATGTGTATGTTTACGCCACTGTTCGTTCCCCTACGTTCGGCGGCGAGCGGGGGGGGGGGAAGTGAGAAGGAGAAGGCCCTCTCGGGCTGGGCGAGAGGGGGGGATAGCAAAGGGGTGTGTGTGAGAATCAGCTCACGTAGCTGATTTTCCCGGCACCTCCCGGCGCCAGAGGCGGCCATGCATCGAGGAATGGGCCCCTCGCTCGGGCCGAAACCAGCTGCTGCATGCGGCAGATTTCGCAACCCCCCCTTTCCCTATTCCCCCCTTTCGTTCGGCCCGAGCCAGATCCATTGCACCACTTGCGGCTTCCCCATCCCCCCCCGTTCGTTCGGCCCGACCTTCTCAGAAGGCGGCGGGACTTCTCAGAAGGCCTCGCGCCCTCTGAGCAGCTGCTTCTTGTCCTCGGGGCAGGCTCAGAGCACTTCTCAGGAGGCTGGGGGACCTCCGAGCCTTCCGAGAAGGCCCGCCCCTTCTCGCTTCCCCGCTGGGCGCGCCGCCTAGACGTACCGCGGGCTCGGGTCGGGTCGACCCTGGCGCTGGCTCCTGACACCGCGGGGGCGTTGCTCCACCTGGCACAGGCGGCCGCTTCCGAAGCGTGCGAGCGTGGAGCATCGCCCGCCTCTGGGCCACGGGCGGCGTCCAGCCTTGAACGCCTCAGCGCCCCCCAAACGGGGACTCCACTAACGGGTACTTTGGCCAGTGACCCAGCGAACCCAGCCCTTCCCGATGTGGGCAACGCTGCAATGCAAGAAAAAGGCCCTAAAGTGGCAACTTTCGGCAAAGATTCAAAATACCCGTTAGTAAGTACCCGTTACGGTGCCGTTGAACGCCCGCGCTGGGGTCGCCGCCGGTCGCGAACCTACCGTAACCATACCCTTTGTGGTCGCCGACCTCGGCCGCGGCCCCGCCGCCCTCCGCGACCAGCACGGCGTGCCCGTGCCGCCGCCCGGGCGGGCCCGCGGCCGCGCGGGCCGCGCCGCCGCGGAAGCCCTCGAAGAACGACGCGACCATCATGCGTTGCATCGAAGAAGAAACGTCGGCATGCACACTTGGCGGCGCGCAGAGGGGGCCCAGACCCCCTCGGGTCACGACAAAAATCATGACAGCAAGTGTTTCGCTATTTTCCGCCTCTGGGGGCCCTTGCCGGACCTCGGGACCGTCAAACAACGACTCGGGAGGGGTCGAGACCTCTGGGGGTCGACGTGGCGAAAGTCGCGACGTCGGGGGTCTGGGAAGGCCTCTTAGAAGGCGCGAGCCTCAACCGAGAAGGCCCGCGCATTCTGAGAAGCAGGGTGCCCCTAAAAAGCCTTCGCCCCTCCCCCTATATCCTTGCGCGTGCCGTCCACACACATGAGCGACGAAATGAACATGCGCCACATGTCTTTTGGGTTCCGAGAAAGAAAAAATACCCCAGTGCGACCCTACCTAGAAGTTAGAGCCCCTAGGAAAGCAGCATTTGTTGCTGTGCTATGCTATGCTATGCTACGCCATGCTATGCTGCGCTATGCTATGCTATGCTATACTATGCTGCGCTAACATATGCTATGATATGCTCTGCTATGCTAAGCTATGCTATGTCATGCTGCGCTGTGCTATGCTAAGATATGTTACGCTATGACATGATATGCTATGACATGCCATGCCATGCCATGCTATGCTATGCTATGATAATGCAGCGCTGCGCTATGCTAAGCTAAGCTCAACTCACCCTCTAGACAGAGCCTAGGTAAGCAATTACACGAGGCCATCGAGGCTAGCTCGGCATCTGTCGCACATTGCTTTTGCTTTGCCTTTCCTTTGCTTTGCGTTAGCTGTTGCTTTGCTTTGCTTTGCGTTGTTTGTGCTTTGCTTTGCTGTCGCTGCTGTTGCTTTGCATGTGCTTTGCACCTATGCTATGCTATGAACTGCTATGCTATGCTATGCTATGCTATGCTATGCTGCGCTGTGCTGTGCTGTGCTGTGCTGCGCTATGCTATGCTATGCTATGCTATGCTGCGCTATGCTATGCTATACTGGGCTATGCTATGATATGCTGTGCTGCGCTATGTTATGCTACGCTATGCTATGCTGTGCTCTGCTAAAGCTCAGCGAAGATTAGATGAAGGTAAACTAAGCTAAGATAAACCTGAGCTAAGATGAAGCTAAGCTAAGATTAAATCAGCTAAGCTACGATGAGATCAACGACGCTAAGCTAAGGGGACGTAACCGGGGGAACCACGAGGCGTATGCCGGGGGAACCGCCCGGGGCGATTTACACTGCCCGGTCCCTTCAGCTTACACGGTAAGAACCCTTCTAGGCAGAGCCAAGGTAGGGAACAATGCACTTTTTATTATATATCTACGCTTTCGGCCTGTGAGGCCCCCCGCCGGGTCCAGGACACTGACAAAAACGGCTCGCGGGATGAAAAACTGGACCCAGGGCAAGAGTCGAGACTCCCGCGGACCCTGCATGGAGAACCATCAGGGCGTCGCGCCTCTGGGGAAGAACCACGAAAAGAGGCCCGCCTTGTGCGATATTACATATAGCGACTGGACGCGGCGGCTTGCGCGGCCCGCCCGCACGGCACGCCACGTTGGAGCCGAGGGCGCTTTCGCGCGGCCTCAAGCGGGCAACTTGCGCGCCAATGTCGGCGCAGTCCACAAGAAACCTTCCACAAGAAACCCAACCTTGAGACCCCAGGACGTCCATTGATTTTTGGTGCGGGAACGGCACGCTTTCCATAGCAAAACCATCGAAACCCAAGAAGCCCAGGGCGCCCTGGAGGCAAGCAGGGTGTTTCTTGGCATGGGCCCCCACTGTGCGCTTTCGGAGCTCCGCGCGCACCTCTTGGATCGGCGCCGGACCTTCGTGGCGAACACCGCACGCTTTGGGGGGGGGCTCCAGCGTCGATCCCCGGATGCGTAGGTTCATGCCTTTTTTCCTCTTCGACTGGAGGAAGGTCGCCTCCACGAGAGCCGCGGCCACGGCACCGAAGATCCTTGCCGTGGGGCAGATTCGTGTCGTCGCGAGCTCGGCAGTGGTCTCTGGCACCGCATGGATCGTTCAGCCTTGGACGATCGGCGGCGTTTCGACCGCCAGATCGTTCCATGTTGGCCGGTTCTGGGCCACTGGCGGCGTTCGACCTTGAACGCCTGCGCTGGCGGACCTACCGCTGTCACAACTGGCCCTGCTCCGACAGTTAGGACGGGGCTGGGACGAGGACGAATCCGCTCCAGGGCGTTGCGGAACGCTCTGGGAAGGCCGCGGCGCCCGAGACATCCTGCAGATCCGCCGGACCTCGGAGGCTCTCGATTTCTCCTCCTCCTCCTCCTCCTGCTCCTCCTCCTGCTCCTCCTCCTCCTCCTCCTCCTCCTCTTCCTCCTCCTCCTCCTCCTCCTCCTCGTCCTGGCTTCGTCTCAGTAGTCCTCGCCCTCTCTTGGGCATCCCCGAGAGATCCAGCGAGCGGCGCTCGAGGCCGCCGGGCCGCTCCCCCGGCAGCCGTGCTGCGGCTCGTCGCCCGCCCAGGGCCGTTGAGGGGCAACGGTACGGGGGGGGGGCTGGCTCGGCAAGGGCTCTAAGTTTCGAGTAGGAGATCGACTGCAGAATTGAGTGACCCCCAGACTTCAAGGTGTTGTCGACGCGGTGGAAGGTGAAGAGGATGCTCGTATGTCTAGATGTCTAGGAGCGCATGTCTGCGCCGATTCTCGTAGACTCGAGGCGGAGCCCAAGTTTGGGGTACATCGATTATGTAGTCGATCCCCTACTCGAAAGTCCGCGCTTGGCGCTGCGCGCAGCGCAAAGAACCTCGCGCTCTCGCGCCGCCCCCCAGGGGAGAAGAGGAGGACGAGGAGGAATCGGAGCGAAGCGCGCGGAGCGCGAAGGACTTCGCGCCTTCGAGGGCGCTCTTGCTTCCGGGGAAGGGGGGGCGAACATCGACCTGCCGTCGGCGATGCGTCGCCGAGAGATCGGCGGGAGGGCCCCCGCGCGAAGGACGTCGCGCCCTCGAGGGCGCCCTTGCTTCGGGGGGGGGAGGGGAACATCGACCTGCCGTCGCGATGCGTCGCCGAGCGACGGACGTCGCGCCTTCGAGGGCGCCCTTGCTTCAGGGGGGGTGGGCGACATCGACCTGCCGTCGGCGATGCGTCGCCGAGAGATCGGCGACGAGCGGGCCCCTCTCGGCGACGAACGGGCCCTCGGGGGCCGATGCGCCCTCGAAGGCGCGACCCGTCCTCCTCCTCCTCCTCCTCCTCCTCCTCCTCCTCCTCCTCCCCACTTTCTTTCCTCCTCCTCCTCCTCGCTTTCCTCCACCTCATTCTCCTCCTCCTCTCATTTCCGCCTCCTCCTCCTCCCTCCATCCTCTTTCTCCTCCTCCTCCTCCTCCTCCTCCCCACTCCTCCTCCCCTCCTCCTCCTCCTATCCTCCTCCTCTCCTCCTCCTCCCTCATAGCCTCCTCCTCCTCCTCGTCCTCGTCCTCCTCGTCCTCCTCCTCCCCTCCTCCTCCTCCTCCTCCTCCATCCTCCTCCTCCTCCTCCTCCTCCCTCTCCCCTCCTCCCTCCTCCCTCCTCCCTCCCTCCCTCTCCCCTCCTCCTCCATCCTTCGCCTCCTCCTCCCCCTCCTGCTCCAGCTCCTGCTCCTGGCTCTTGCTCCGCACCCTGCTCCTCACTCCCCCTCCCCCTCCCCTCCCACACCCCCTCCTCCTCCTCCTACCTTCTCCTCCTCCTACCTCCTCCTCCTCCTCCTCCTCCCTCCTCCTCCCTCCACCTCCTGGCCTCCCCTCCTCCTCCACCTGTTCCTCCACCTCTCCTCCTCCTGCTCCACCTCCTCCTCCTACTCCTCCTCTTCCTCTCCTCCTCCTCCTCCTCCTCCTCCTTATCAGCATCATCCCTCTTCTCCTCTTCCCCTCCTCCTCTCCTCTCCTCCGCTCCTCTCCTCCTCCTCCTCCACCCCTCGCCCTCCTACTCCTCCTCCTCCTCCTTCTCCTCCATCTCCTCCTCATACATCCTCCTCCATCCCTCCTCCTCCATCTACTCCTCCTCCTCCTCCCGCCTCCCTCCTCCCATCCTCCCTCCTCCCTCCACCCTCCTCCCTCATCCCACCTCCCACCTCCCTCCTCCTCCTCCTCCTCCTCCTCCACAATTACACAATATGAGTACTACTCTCCTCAATCCCCTGATGGCGTGCGGAAGATAGCGGGCACCCCTCCGCGTACTGTTTTTTACGCGCAGGATTCCCTGGAGTTGGGTTTTCGCTTGGGTTCTGTTTCAAAACGATGCTCTCGCTGAGGCGCGGGCTTCATTTTCGGGTTTCCGCTCGTTCCGAATCGTGCTCCATCTGCCGCGCTGGCCTCATTTCCGTGCTTCCGCTCGTTCCGAATCGTGCTCCCGCTGCAGCGCTGGCCTCATTTCCGCGCTTCGTCTCGTTCCGAATCGTGCTCCCGCTGAAGCGCTGGCGTCATTTCCCGTGGCATGCCACGGTATGCAATGCAATGCTAGGTTGCGTTCCACTGCGCGATGCCATGACTTCAACTGCAGCTGTCGTATCCAATGCTTAAGTGCCACGTCATGCTATGCCATGCTACGCTTTGATATTCAACGCCATGCTATGCAATGTTATGCTCGGGGCCGCTGTGCGATGCCATGCGTTGCGTTGCAACGCTTTGTGATACAATTCTTCACTACGCCACGCCATACCATGCTGTGACATACTACGCTGTGCGGTGCTCTTCTACGCCATGCTATGCCGTGCTGTACAATGCATCGCGTACCCTTTCGGGACCATTGCCCTGCTCGACATCCGACTGTGCGAGTAGAGAGGGGATCTACGCCACGGTGAGGGACGGGAGGGAGGGGTAGGATGTCAGCTATGACGCAAGCGCACCTAGCTTGCCCCCTATCCTCCTCCTCATCCTCCTCCTCCTCCTCCTCCTCCTCCGCCTTCCCCCTCCTCCTCCTCCTCCTCCTCCTCCTCCTGCTCCTCCTCCTCCTCCTCCTCCTCCTCCTCCTCTTCCTCCTCCCCTCCGCCATCTCCTCCTCCATCTTCCTCCCTCCATCTCCTCCTCCCCCTCCTCCTCCTCCTCCTCCTTCCTCCTCCTCCTCCTCCTCCTCTCATCTCCGTCCTCCCATCTCCTCCTCCCCCTCCTCCTCCCCCTCCTCCTCCCTCACCGCCCTCCTCCTCCTCCCTCCTCCTCCTCCTCCTCCTCCTCCTGCTCCTGCTCCTCCTCCTCCTCCTCGCTTCCTCATCTGCTCAAATCATGTTCCTCCTTCTCCTCTCCTCCTCCTCCTCCTCCTCCTCATCATCATCCTCCTCCTCCTCCCTCCTCTACATCCTCCCCCTCCACCCCCCCTCCTCCTCCTCCTCCTCCTCCTCCCCCTCCCTCCTACCTCCTCCTCCACCTACCATCTCCTCCTCCTCCTCCACCTCCTCCTCCTCCTCCTCCACCATCCACCCTCCATCCCTCCTCCATCCTCCTCCAGCCCATCTCTCCTCCATCTCCACCTACCATAACCTCCTCCACTCCGTCCTCCTCCTCCTCACCTCCTCCTCCTCCTCCGCCTCCGCCTCTCCTCTCGTCTCCTCCACTTCCATCTCCTCCTCCCTCCCTCCTCCCCTCTCCACCTCCCCCTCCTCCTCCACTCCGCCCTCCTCCCTCCTCCTCCTCCTCCTCCTCCTCCTCCTCCTCCTCCTCTTCTCCACCTTCTCCTGCTCCTCCTCCTCACTGCTCCTCCTCCTCTCCTCCTCCTCCTGTCCCTCCCTCCTCCTCCTCCTCCCTCCCTCCCCCCCTCTTCCTCCTCCTCCTCCTCCTCCTCCACCTCCTCCTCCTCCTTCTCCCCGCTTCTTCCCTCCTCCCCCTCCTCCTCGCTCCTCCTCCTCCTCCCTCCTATGCGTTCCATCCGCTCCACTCCTCCCTCTCCTCCTCCCATTCGTTTTCCTTCGTCGTCTATCCTCCCCCTCCTACCCCTCCTCCTCCTCCTCCTCCTCCTCCTCCTCCTCCTCCTCCTCCTCCTGCTCCTCCTCCTCCTCCTCCCTCTACAGTATGGAGCAGCTGTCGTGGCCCGATGGGAGCAGCATACCTCAGCCTCAAGCGGATCCAGTGGTCTTTCGTCTCACCCTTCGTCATCCAGGACCCCGAGGGCAACCAGTTCATCCTCACCAATACCTCACCCAGCCTCCTTCAGGAATCCCTCAAGCGCTCCTGGGACGACAAACTGTCTCGTGAAGCAGCTAAGAAGATGGGCCTCGACGGGGCCAAGTTAGATTGCCAGATTGCTCAGAAATGCTTGAAATCAGCCAGCCTGTCAGCAGTGGAACGCAGCACGTTGTTGGCCTACCTCTGCCATGCTATCTGGACCAGGAGTGGACTAAAAGCGGCAGGGTACGACGAGCACACAGGATACTGCCTGTGTGGTGTAGCATCGGACGACCTACCCCACCGTCTCCTGAGGTGCCCCCTGACTGAGGCCCGTAGGCAAGAGAGTGTCACTGAAGAAGAAATCGCCAGCACCACCAATCCAGGAAGTTTTCCGCTAGCCGCGGGTTTTCAGCTTGAACCCGAATTCGACATCGGGGCCTCAGATGGACTCGGACTTGGATCCATGAAGTTCTGGCCCGTGGATCCCCAGGCTACCCCAGCCTCTGCCCTTGTGGGCAAGGTTTCCTCGGATGACTCGGCCCTGAAACCAAGGAGCAAAGCTTTTGAAACGGCAGGCTGGGCAGTGGTAAAGACCAATGCCGAAGGCGAAATGATCGCCGCTCTGACTGGCCAAGTCGGCCGACTCCTCCCCCAATCCTCCCCTGCTGCTGAGCTCTGTGCCGTGCTTGCTGCCCTCACCTCCTCCCCCAACATCACATACATTTCAATTGATTATCAAGGCATAATCGACCTTTATGCCACTGGCCTCTCGCGACGCGAGTATGCGGGAATCGGGCTGCACGCGCGAGGAGCCACCGGCTGGCACGATAACCTTAGATTTTCCAAGATCAAGGCGCATCAAAGCTTAGATGCCCGTCCTGTTGGCTCGACAGAATGGGCCGACACTCTGGGCAACCACGGGGCCGATCGTTTTGCGGGAATCGCGTCTCGAGCTTTCAACAGGCCCTCAGAGGCCGAGATAGAAGAGCATGTGTCCCAGTGCAAGTTGCTCAGTAAACATGTGAGATATGTTGCCAGGGCCCTACAGGAATGGCCGCCGATAGGGCCCAGTTTGACCAAGAAGGCCTACAAGAAGCCAGTCACGTCTCTCTCCCCACCTGTCGGCGCGGCTTCCAGTCAGGTGATTTGGAAGCAGTCCCACCCTTCGCCCCCTCCGCCTCCTCCCGCGGCCCCCCGTCCCGCTCAGCCTCGTGGGGAGTCGCGGGGGCGCAGGTGGGAGGCTTCAGGAAAGCGTTTCTCGTGCATTGACTGCCGCGTCAGGGCGGCAACCAAGAAGCCAGGCACATGTCCTGGCTACTCTCAAGCGCTTGCAGAGTTGTGCAGTAACCCGCAAGGGCATGCGCTGTTCATTTGCGAACAGCATAGAGGAGGGTCGTTTATTGTCGTCTGTCGTCGGTGTGGGAAGTTCGCTGAATCATATGTGCGGTCCCTGAGTTCTGTGTGTGCTGGACAGTACGTCAGACCAAGAGACCGCACCCAATGGAACCTCTTGCTTGAAGGCAGGAATCCGGGAGGTTCCAAGAATTCGCCCATCGAGTGCGAGCGGCCGATGCCGCTCCACCAGTACCTCCTGCGACAGGCCCAAGAGATGGCCGAGCAGGAAGAGGCTGCCGCTGCGCCCACCCCAGGCCAACCGAGCGGGGTGGAGGGAGAGGAGCAGCAGCAGCAGCAGCAGCAGCAGCAGCAGCAGCAGATCTGCTAACAATCGAACCC